TAATGCATTTGAATCAAATTTGAGATTTCACACAGGTATGAGGTTTCATCTTCAAACAAATCTCTAATGCTACCTTTACCATAAATTAGGTTCCGCATCAAATTATATTTTTTTCTGTAAAAGGTAAAAGAAATCCTAGATAAATAATATAGTGATCTGCTACCACAGACACTAGTTATTCTCATCTTTTACTTTTTTAAAACATTATGTCTTAACATTAAACCATGCCAAAACACTGTCATACCACATAATAACTAGTAAGCACAAATCGCCAAACAAGATGTGATTATTACAGTCACTCAAAGTATTCAAAATCATAATTAGAAAAGTCTATAAACTAAAATGACTTCAGAAAACAATATGATTGATTAAAATACCACTTACAAAGTGTAGATATTATCACAAGACGGTCTCATTGAACCAGAAAGAAGCAAGCAAAATCAAACAACATTCTTCGATACTTTGCTCAACACACTGAAATAATCAACCAGTTCTCATGATAATGTGAACCCCGCTATCAGTTTCCACGATGTCACTTATCTCACCAACCTTAAGAGCATATGTAGCTTCCTCAAAAGGCTTCTGCATCTGACCTCGTCCAAAAGGACCTGAAGCAAAATTTTAAATAGGATCATTCAGATTAACATTTTGAAGAGGACATGTTTCAGATGTGCTATGCACTGATCCGAACGATTCAATGACCATAAACGCATACAAACAACACCCTCACAAAAAACTTGCATTTTTTTTGGGAGGCTTCTGACGTGTCTGGACATATATAAAAAGCACAAAACGCTAGGTGGGTTAGACAGGTCACCAATGCACTACTGTTAAGTATCCCCTTCAGCCAAAAGTTTAAGCTATTAAATAAAGTCCTAACATTAATATTTAAAATTTTACACGTTCCTTCACAAATAATGTGTATCATGGATCCAATGAGAATCATAAACGATTTGAGTTGTGTGTCATTAATTGAATGAGCACATCAAGATTTCAGTTGATTTAGATAATTAATTGAGAAAAAGAAATGATACACGAGTTATTTGAATACGAGACTGTTAACTTGATACTATTATAAGTAACCACTTACCAAAAGCTTGAGCTATACAAAACTTTTAACTTGATACTATAATAAGTAACCACTTACCAAAAGCTTGAGCTATTTGGTAAGAGGTCAATACAAAATTCAAGATTCAGCAACCATAAATAGTTCAACAAATAGTATCACTACATGAAAGAACCAAAAGGAGAGGCATTGTAGCCAATTCAAGAGAATCCATCATTATAGAGCCCTTTCTATGGCATTTATTTAAGAAGAAAAAAAAACGCCAATACAACCAATCAATTCTTCTGAAATCCTTCTAAATATGACAATAAACTAGAGTAACAAGAAAAATTTTACAGAGTTTATTTCAAAAAATTCAAATAATCTGATTGCAGTACTGCAGCACAAAGGTTTTGGTGACTGGTGAGCTTTCTTTGCATATGCTCAAAAATTAAGATTTGTCAGTTCAATAAACCAATACAAATCCTCAAATGCTAGAATTACATTATTATACATCCCATGTACCAATAAACAAACACATTACATCAACACTGCAATCAGCCATGTCCCCATTGAAATTATAATCAGTCATACATGGAAATTATAATCACGCTCAATCTAAAAAATTATTATAAATAAAGCCCTAATACCATAAGTTAAAAACATTAGCAATTGCATAACAAATTTGGAGCTATTACTATAACAGAGATATGTATTACTTCCCACTACGTGAACTTTTCTAACTGCTTCCACATGTTCAGAGTTCTTTTTTCTCACAATTCCAATTAAATCTAGCAATAACTTCACATACGAAACCCTAATCTCATCATATTCAATCCACCTATGACCCCGGTTCAATACTTCTCATAACCATATAAGTAGCCATAATAATAATAAAACTCTAGGGCTAATCCTAAATAGTTATAATACAACAATTTCAGCAAATCGATAAACGCAAAAATTCGCGAAAAGGTAAAATAAAAAAAAGTAATAAAACGGAATAGAAACGCACCGAGATCGCCACCGCGTTTGGCGGAGCTGCAATCAGAGACACGAGAGGCGACTTCGTCAAACTTAATCTTGCCGGAGACGATGTCTTCTCGGATGGTTTTGAGTTGAGAGATGGCACTGTCTTTGGTGGTGTTGTTGATGACCCGACCTTCCGGATCCTTCCATGAGGCCTTTCTTCGAGAGCCTTGATGTTTGATCAGGATGTGAGACGCCCTAACCTGATTGGCCGACGACATTTTAGGTTTTTTCTTGTGACTCTTCTCTCTTTCTTTATCTCTCGTTGTTGTTGATGGCTTTCGATCTGCCGATGAGATCGAAGAATTCTTTCTCTTCCGATCCGACTCAATCTTCGCTACTGCTGCTCGGCTTTTGCCTCTAGAAGGAGAGTGTAGAATAAGTGGAGCACTGGAGCTCTGTAATCTTGTGCTTTCAAAGTGAGGAGAAAGAAGTTTTCATACCTCGTTTTAGGTTCACCAGCACTCGAGCCTCTTTTGGGGTTTTCTCGACCCATAGCATTAATTAATCAAATAATAAAAAAATTCCTCAGAAATAACATAAACAATATTTATCACGAGGATGAGTTAATAAATCTTCATCTAATTACCTCTATATTATTTATTAATACCAAAAACTTAATAAAATGTAAAGTTATATTATTTAACAGTAATGTTAGAGGTAGAATAAAAATTTATATATAAAATGACGTGATAAAAAATTAATAAAAAAATAAATATAAAAAGTCAAATTCGTCAAATTCACTCTTCTATTTTTTTTTTTCGTATTAATTTGTAAATATATCTTTATACATCTAATATTACTCATTATTTAATTATAATCCGAGGCACTTTTGCAAAGACTATTTAGGTGGACTGACATTTTAACCCTAAATATATAATGAAAAAATCTTATTTCCTTTGATTTAGAAAATATTCAATATTACTCTCATTTTTGTAAATTTAGATATTAAAAAGAGTAAAAAACTTTTTCCCACACAAGGTTTGCCTCAATAAACTTTTCACCCAAAAAGTTTCAAAATACCACTTTCCCACATAAAGTTAGTATTCCGTTACTATCCAAAGCCCAATTCAGCCGCAAAAATTCTCTCCGTCACCAGTATTGAACCTCTAGTCTCCTCCCTACAAAAACCCTTTGACTACAACACCTAATTTCTCGATGATTGTCGGCTATCGCAAAGCTAGAGTTTCCCATTCTTAGTGGATTTTTTATGGTGAATATTCAATTAATCACCACCATTTGATTCACCAGCCTCCACTCTATAAAAACCCTCTTATCTTTGCTCTTTCTAATTCACCAAACACCGACTGAGAAAATGAAGTGTATTTTGGGTATTAACGAAATATAAACGTTGGATGAGAAACTGGTATTTTAAAACTTTTTGAGTGGAAAAATGTCATTAAGGCAAACCTTGGGTGGAAAAAAGTTCGTCTACTCTATTAAAAATTAGCCATGAAAGGATAATATTGTCAATTTACCTCATATATATACTGTATAACATTATAGAGACAAATAAGACAGTAAAGCTAATATAGCCTAATGAATTGACAAAATGAAGTTTTAAACCCTGAATTCAAAAAATGCGGGTAACATTGTATGTTTTCAAAAGTAAGGGGGAAAATGTTCTTTCACAATAGATTGGGGTGAAAATTAATCCAAAGTATTTATTCGAAAATTATTATTAACGGTCATTTATTCTTCTACTCATTCAATTAAAACTAACCATATATATTAATATTTAACAAAAATAATTGTTTGTGAAGAATAATTACCAATATTTCAAAATATATTATAGAAATTTCAGAGAGTTTAGAGTAATTGTTCCTAATAAATACAACCATCTTTAATTTCCAAGAATTAAATTAGATTCATATGCCAACAACCAAATCAAATCCAAATAACAACTAATAAGACTAAAACGAAAAAGAATATTTTCAAATTCAAAAATCCATGGATTCTCCTAATGGTAAAGGCTTGGTGCTAAGGGGTTTTCTGATGAATTCTCTTAGTGGTAAAGGCTTGGTGCTAAGGGGTTTTCTCCCTTGTGCTCCCAGGTTCGAGTTCAAATCACAAGAACGGTTGGTAATATTGTTGGTCACAGACCGCGGGGCTTGACCTGTTTTAGAAGACTTGTTCAGGGTCGGAAGACTAGTCGAGGTGCATGTAAGCTGGCTCGGATAACCCCAATAACAAAATATATATATAAATTCAATATCACCACTATGGGTTGGCTATATCAATATCAAATCACAAGAACGGTTGCTAATATTGTTGGTCACAGACCGCGGGGCTTGACCTGTTTTAGAAGCCTTGTTTAGGGTCGGAGGACTAGTCGAGGTGCATGTAAGCTGGCTCGGATAACCCCAATAACAAAATATATATATAAATTCAATATCACCACTATGGGTTGGCTATATCATATCCAAATCAACTTTTTTTTTTTTTTTTTTTTTTTTGTGATCGGCGTGTCTGCCAATTTAAACCACATTAATGGGATTCTAAATTACGATCAGAATAAAGCTCCAGTGACCATTCCTATTAACAATTGATGAGAGATTCGAACTAAAAACCTCTTGAGTAATACTCAAAAGTTTATATTAAACCACTCGATCACCTAAGGATTAATTAACATTCATGTATTGATACGATATTTCCTTGTGAAATGATGGTTAATAACTTGCACATTTTGAGATAGGTGTCTACAATACACAAAATATATTTGAATCCATTTGATTTTTGATTTTAAGTTGGTCAAAGATTCATTGTCTGCTCTGCTCTAATAATCCCAACAATAATACAACAGTTTGTGTATATAATATTGAACAATCGAGTCATTAGCTTATTTTAGTCTCAATAATCTAAAACATAATAATAAGAATAAAGAAACGAATCAGACGACATCAGATATTAGTTAAACTGGAAACGACAACGCTTCGGCTGAAGAAATACTAGCCAGTACAAACGTGCACCGTGTTAAAAAAAACACTATCACTGGTCCAGTGTTGAGAAACAGAGAATCCTCTTGACTCTTTTTCTCTTTCATTTCCGTCTATTACCTGCCAGATCCTGAGATTCAAGATCCAATCGGTAAGCAAATGTGGTTACTTGAAGTTTTTTTTTTTTTTTTTTTGCTTATATTGTTTGATGAAGAATAGTTTGTTGAATATGATTCGGTTCGGCACGGTGTAGCCGTGATGTCGGGGGTGGAGGAGAGATGGTGCGTGGTGACGGGCGGAAGGGGATTCGCCGCGCGCCATTTGGTGGAAATGCTTATCAAATACGATATGTTTTCGGTGAGAATTGCTGATTTGGGCGCCACCATTGATCTTGAACCACACGAGGAGCAGGGAATCCTTGGCCAGGCTTTGAGTTCTGGCCGTGCTCAGTATTTCTCCGTTGATCTTCGACACAAGTCTCAAGTACTTCAAGGTCTTTTTTCTTTACTTCTTTTTTATTTATCAAATTGTGTAAATAATAACATAAGATTCTACTATGATATTGAGCCAATGAACTACATGACAAATCACGCATCGCTAATTTACAATTCATATTGCCAAAGTGCCACAATTACTGTAACCGGAATTAATAGTTTCAGTAATTCACAATATCATACAGGATACTGATATAAGTAATGGAACATGAGAAGTAAATAATATCATGTTAATGTTATAACTGGTCTAGTAATGTTAAGGGACAGTACTATGGTACTGTTTTCATTTTACATGGTTGTGATTATGACAGTGCCAATGTTGTTGCAAATATGACGCGTGTTTCTAATAACTGTTTGATCCAGTCAGGTTACCAGGACTTGCATCTTGTATCTTAGATTTTCCCTTATAGAGAAGGAATTTTTTTGATGCATATGTCTGAAATTTTTTAAAAGGGTTATTGAGTTTGTTTATTTCTCCAGCATGTAAAGGAGCTGAGGTCGTGTTCCACATGGCTGCACCCAATTCATCCATCAATAGTTATCAGCTTCATCATTCAGTTAATATTGGAGGTAAGAAATTGTTTGCCATTAGCTATAGGATTTGAACTTTCAGTTCTTGCCTAATGTTTGTGATTTTTTTCTTAATATAAACTCTGATTTGCAGGAACGGCTAATGTTATTGAAGCTTGTATTGAGGGCAAAGTAAAGAGACTCATTTATACTAGCTCCGCTAGTGTGGTTTTTGATGGGATTCATGGAATTATTAATGGGAATGAGTTATTACCATATGCTTCTAAGGTATGCATTTCACCCTCATATTACCTTATCTTGAACACTAGCAATGCTAATACTACCTTATTTAGAACATGTTGAGTTATTGCTTAACCTAAAAATTTAAACTGACAGGTGAAAGTCCTATGTACTATTTTAAGCTCAATCACACCCTGTACCATTTAGTCAACTTGGATGTGCTACCCATGCTAAGTTACATTCTGATGTGTTCCCGTAAATTAGTTTGTTTGTGTTCCTCACTGCAACTGACATGAGCCTTGCTTAATATTTATCTCCAATTGTTTCAGCACATTGATTCATATTCAGCTACAAAAGCTGAAGGAGAGAGGTTGATCATTAAGGCAAATGGTGCTAATGGGCTTCTAACTTGTTGCTTACGCCCCAGCAGCATTTTTGGTCCTGGTGATAGGTTGCTGGTTCCCTCTTTGGTTGATGCTGCAAGGGCAGGAAAGTCTAAGGTACCATTTTTGCTGTCTCTGTTAATTTTAATTTCTTCTTTATTTTAGACATGAGTTCTCTGTTTTTGGGAGCTGTTTTCTAAATTTGTGCTCCATGCCACTAGTGATCCTTTTTCTTTCCCTTTCAATCTCCATGAGATGTCTATAGACTCATTTGATATGATTTTTAATTAAATTATTCTAATAAATAATTAACTTGTAGTATCTACTTCCCCATTTGTAAGATATATGCTACTCATATGACTATGGTTTTTGTAAAATGCACACTATTTTGTTGCTGTTTATTATGTTAACTGCTCTTGTGTTAAATTCCTAAATCCTTCTATTGATGGCACCAAAGCCCATCTCATATAACTCTTTATTACTATTTTGCACTAAATATTTTCATACTTTTGTCACGTGCTTGAGTCTACATTTTGTCCTGATTGCAGTTTTTAATAAACTCTGGCTCCTTGATGAAACCCATTCTGCCTTTATCTAGAAATAATGTAATATCAGTACATTGGAGATTTGGTAATCTTATTTTAAGTAATTTCCAAATATTTTAGATTCAGTATTTTGTGCAACTCAACAAAGTTCTGGTTGGCTACTTTAATCTGGTTTCACCAGTCAGTGTGTTACATTATAAACTATTATCTCTATTTCATGCAGTCTCAGCATAGTTACTTCTTGGATTGCATTTTGACCTGTTTATGTCATTCAAAATAATACCTGATGCTTTTCTGATATATATATTCAACACCTATTCTCATTTTTATCAATTGTATCTAACCTTTCTTGGTGTTTTATGTAATTTATTTTTCTTTTATTTTTGTTTCTATGTTTGTTTTTGTTGATTCATGTTATTGTGACTTCATTGTTACAGGTTATCACACAATCTCCAAATCAGTTTTTCCTAGAAAAAGAAAACAGCTTCTCTATTTTTATACTATCTATCCTATTTTGATGCTAAGAAACTAAATGGTTTTAGCATTTCTAGAAATAGGAAAGAGTTTTTTGAAATTCACACAATTAATATTCGATACTTTGGTGGACTCTAATAGGGTATTTGAATAAAAAAAAATGAAAATTGGGAAATAGGGGACCAAATTTATCGTGGCTACTCAAGAATTTCACCGTTTGAATTGAGAGTTCATTCTTATTGTAATGTTCATCTGATCTTATCAATTGGTATATTTTTTTTCTTGAACTCGAATAAATTATGTTTTTTTTTAAAGGATAGTATTAAAGATCTCATCCTTTTGGCTATGGAAGTTGATAATTCTATAATTAGCTTGGAGGCTAATCTCTCTACGGCTTGTTTGGAAAGTATATCATTGACACGACATTCATGATTGTGTGGTCAAGCCAAGACTTCTAGCTGTTAGTTATATTGCATTGCTGATCCTAATGACTCTCATCGTAATTCATCTCTGTGATTTCTTTTGATCAATTTTCATCTAAAATGTGTAGTTTGAGAGGCTTAGAATTCTGTGGAAAATAGTTCATCAAAACTCTTGACTGGTTAGGAAATGATTGAAATAATAGTGGTCATATAACAACCATCTCTGTTTCTTGGTTGGAGCTATCTATGTTTGCTCATGAGTCTACATATTACTTATTCGTAGAGATTTCCTTCAATGGAATCTAACATTTTCTTCTTTCCTTTCTGTCTCCAAATGGTCAGTTCATAATTGGTGATGGCAATAATGTTTATGATTTCACTTATGTTGAAAATGTGGCACATGCTCATATATGTGCTGAACGAGCTCTAGCTGCAGAATTGACGGTTGCTGAGAAAGCTGCAGGGCAGGTTCTGTTACAATCCCCCTGAACTTCTTTTGATCTCTGATTTATTGTTTAATATAAAAATGGGACAAAGGTGAATGATTCAGTTTTCATGACCTCTAATTTATCTGTTGATAGAATAAACTGAGAGCACAGCATAACACTCCTTAACTTACTGTTTGGTGATGATATTGCAGACATATTTTATAACCAATATGGAGCCAATCAAGTTTTGGGAATTTGTCTCACAAATTCTTGAAGGTCTTGGCTATAAGAGGTACTTTTTTCTTTCCTCATCTAGTTTAAAGAAATGCAACCAGCGGTTTGTTGTGTTGATCTCTTTCTTTGTTTATATTTTGAGTGGACCCTCTTGGTTCTTTGTTTCGCAACAAATGGTCAATGTTTTATGTTGCATATCGGAAACTTGGCATTCAGCATAGCAGTTTTTTTTTTCTTAAAACTTTCCAGTTGCCATCGGGCTTCTATGGTTTTGGAAATTGTTAAACATTCTGGATTTTGTTTTATATTTTTCAAGAGGAAATGATTTATTGTTCACTTGCTGGCACTTGTGAACTGCTAATTAGGCCTTGAAAATTAGACGCTTATAGCCTTCTCCAATAATTGCATTTTCTGTTTTTTATGCATTCTGTATTCACTAGTTCCCAAAAGAAAATTGAGGAACTAAATATGGTCATGGAAACATATACGCCCATTATTTCTTTGTCTTAATTGATGTAGTTTACAGGCCAAGTATAAGGATTCCTGCCTTGGTTATGATGCCGATTGCACACTTGGTAGAGTGTACATATAAGCTACTGGGCCCGTATGGAATGAAGGTTCCGCAGTTGACACCTTCAAGAATTAGACTTCTCTCTTGCAGCAGATCTTTTGACTGTTCAAAAGCAAAAGATCGACTTGGCTACACACCTCTTGTCTCACTTCAGGTCTGTGTTGTTCCATGAAACAAGCAAAAAATTCAATCTTTTTTACTTATTATGGAAATTTGATGTTGTTTTTATGATACTTAATCATTGTTGAAACTGTAAAATATCAATTTTGGACAATTTTTTGGTGGGAGATGCTTCATTTCTCTGTATAATTTGCACCATATTCCGTTAAACTCACTGGTTAAGGAGCTATAACTCATGAGTTTGGGTTTAAACTAAACTTCAAGGGTAGCCTCATCTACGACACTTTTAATTGCACTGGTCTCTTAGTATTTTAGCCCATTCTTAAGATATATATATTCTATAGCCGTTTTAAAACTATTTAATTGTTTGTATGAAGATTACTCTGTAATTTGCTTAGTCTGATGGTTAGTTCTTTTTTATATAATAATAAGCATAAATGTCCTAAATTAGCCTTCATTGACTAATAAGCTCTACCAACATACATTTTGTGGTCAAACAGATCCAAATTTCCATAGGGTATAGCATTTTATGTAAAGCCTAGTCAGTGGACAGACAGTTTGCTTATGACAACATATGTAATTACTCTGCAGGAGGGTCTGAGAAAGACAATCGAATCATATTCAGACTTGAGAGCTGAAAATCAATCAAAGAGAGAAGGCCCATCCAAAGCTTCTATATTTCTCGGTAGTGGAAGGGGTATAAGCATTTTTTTCCTTCCATCCAACTACTTTTACGATGTCTGGTTGTGACTATGATTCCAAATACTATGGACGCATCCTCTTAGTATTTAATTCAATACAGAAACTTACAACAATTCATAATCCAGTCGGCTTTTGTTGGATTATTTTGATTACATTTACAGTAATTATTTTTTGAGTTTTGGGCAAACTTTGTATAGTTTGCTAGTTTTCGCACAGGGAAGAGAACATTAGTCACTGTCTCGTATAGATTTGTTCCCCTTGTCAGTTTTTTGTTATCTTTGTGGATCTCTAGTCCACACATGTACCTACCTCAATCTCTTCTTTAATACATAGTTTTATCGTTTCTTTTCAAAAAAAAAAAATAGTATAGTTAATTTGTTGATTGTAGTGGAAAACTGTTATACCATCGGTAGAAGAACCCTGAATGTGTAATCAAACTGAGGGACACAAGCTTTTAGAGTAGTTAGGGAATGTTGCTATGGACGATGGTAATTTCTATTATAATGACACATTATTTTAAATGACATACTAGCATACACAATATAGTTTTTACTCTTAAGCAGTGACACATCAAGTCATTTTGCTTGTGTGTTAACCATGTAATCACCTAATATATGTGTTGGAAACCTCTCTTGTGTCTTTTTTAATTTTAAGTGCACTTTGTTTGGATAGGGTCTATCTTATAGGGAGCATAATAGCATCTTTGTGATATGATTATTGATTGAACATTCTAAGAAGTGCACAAGTTCACAAGGAGAAGAGAGACAAGGGGGATGGGAAGAAATTATGTATATATGTTGATTGACAAAGTCTCTTTGCATTGATGCCTTGCAGTTGCTGACACACTACTCTGGAAAGATAAAAAGCAGACTCTCTCTGCAGTGTTAATTTTGGTGGCAATTTACTACAACTTCATTTTGTCTGGTCCGACCATCATTTCTACTCTTTCACAGCTTCTCTTGTTGACAGTAGTCTTCTTGTTCATCCATGGAATTTTGCCAGAGAAAATGTATGTATGCCAACTCTCTTCTTTAAATGCTAATACAACAAAATGCCTGTTTTGTACACTATCATTAATTAGGATCATGATTGGCCAAATTTTCTTTATCTGGTTTGTGAATAAAAAACTATTATGTTAGTTCTTTCTGAGTCATACGACCATCTACGAAATCAATTTAACTTGGTTGTAAATATGAACTTTCTGTTGTTCATCCTGTCGAATTGATATTCAGCATCATCAAATATGTAATAGAGTGTGGGCTGTGTTTGATAACTACCTGATAGTAACACTGTATTTACATATTATAATATAGGTCATGATAGAGTTCCTAGTGCAGGGAAGTTTGACTAATGTCGAAGAATGGAATTTTCTGCTTGTGCAGATTGGGATATACAATTGAGAAAATTCCTACATCACATTTCCAATTGTCTGAAGAGAAATCGCACCGAGTCGCTCTGTCTGTGATCTCATTGTGGAATACTGCTATTGATGTTTTAAAATCTCTTTCCATGGGTAATGACTGGTTGCTGTTCCTCAAGGTATATACAATGCCCAGTAGCCTTTTTTTTAAAATTTTTTTTTAAAACATGGTTGTATTTTCTTATACCTAGCTACGTTTTAAAAATGTGGTACAATGGACTTTTATCTTCAAGAAGGCATTATTTAACTTCTCTTAAATATAGAACAAAATCAGACATAACCTAGGACGTCAGGAATGTTTTTAGTACATGGTATTGAAGGAAGACTTTTCCCTCTCTCTCTCTCTCTCTCTCTCTCTCTCTCTTCCTTGAATTTCCTAAAACAAACTGGTAGTGTTGACATAGATATTATTATGAACGTAAAAGTCAATACCTGATAATTACTCTTTGAAAAAATATAGAGTTTTTGCAATTTCAGTCTTGCACTAGCTCTTGTAAAGTAATGCATCTGATCATCTCATAACTCTACCTATCTGTTCACACATTGGGAAGGATTAAAATTTCGAATTATGTTCAAACAATTAATGAAAGCATTAATTCAGTTTTCAGATCAGTAAGTTCCAGTATTACCTTAGCTGACAGACAGGATGGTTCAATATATTTATAATGTGCACAGATATGAGCATCCCACTGATCTGTTGCAACTTCATAAGGTCTATAGTGGTGGAACATAGCATTAGGTGAAGTTATCCTTTTTCCAAAAACTGAGTTACGCTAGAGAAAATGTAAATGGATCCCACCTTCTGATCCTGACTTGACATTGGGAGTAAAATTTTCTTGTACAATAACTGGAATTTGGTAATTTTCCCGTTGGCAAGAAAGTGTGCTTCCAACTTGGTTCATCTTTTGTAATTGAAGGCTATAATGTTGAAGAGAGTTGAGGGGAGTGGGGTCATTCACCAGGCCTTTGGTGATTAACTTTCAATATTATCCAAATTCTGTTTTATTAGAAGTTTTTTATTTGGTCGCTTGTGTAACTCCACCAATAGATAAAACCTAAAAACCTCATCAGGAATTTTGTCTTTTATTGCATTGGTCGTGAACAAGCTTAGCTGACTCTTAGCATATCTCTCTCCATGTTCAGTTGACCTGGTTTTTCCTAGTACAATCATCTCTCGAAGAGATTTAGGTGAATGTTGAACAAACAGAGATGAATCTAACCAAATCTTTTCTGACACATTATGAGAATCTAACTGGTTGGGCCTACTTTTTTGTTTTTGTAAATTTGAGTTTATTTTCATGAGGTTGAGTGTACATTCAGCCCCCAAAAAATAGGTGTTAATAGTTTAGTAAAGATGAGGCACTGCACACGATTCACAAATAATATTCCAGAACATGAGTAAGATTGTTATTGTTCTTCCTTGTAAACACACTGTTATATTGGTTGACCAGCAGTCTTCTTCTGCTGACATGCAGATGCATAAATAGCCTTTGGTTTTCTAGTTATCATTAATACTTCCATATATATATGAAATCTCATTGTGCTTACGAACTACGTGATGAGACATTGAATGGTCATTTAAAAATTGTTTTGTTAATTGCTATGGTGGGTGAAAGATTGTTTGCTAACGATTCATCTTGTTCTGGCAATTAAACAGGTTATTCTCTCTCTATTGATACTAAGCTTTCTTGGGGCTATGCCTTTTCAGAGCTTGTATGCTATAGGTCCTCTCTCTCACTTTCTCATGCTCATACTCATTCTCATACATGGATGTGCACATGATTGTTAACCATAAGAATGTCTAGGGTCATAAATGAATTTTTCTGGTTGGTCTCTGGAGAACCAGAATAATTAGTGCTGATGCTCCCGCATAAAACTTAATACTGTTTCGGTTACCCTATTATATCCATCTATTACTTGAAATCCAATTTTTTAAAGTTTAGGGTTTAGGATTCCTTGCCCGCTTTTACTATCACTTTCTTAAAATATTTGTACAGTGACTAATTTCCTTCCAAAGCAGAAGATTTATCATCTCCATTGATATTTGCAGGACTTCCTTTGGCCTTTGTGATTTTCTATGTGTATGAGAAAAAGGAGCAAGAAATCGATTCCATGGTTCTGGATGTTGTCTCCTTCATGGGCAAATTGAAATCTGATGTTGCTAGAAAATTGCGTACTTCCAAGAAGAATGACTAATAGCTGATGACCCTAATTTCCTTCCAAATGAAACGGTGATTGCATCTTCATTCATTCCTCGATTTGCAGCCCTTCAAACTGATATGCCGTCGCCGCTCTTTTATAATTTTTCTTGTACTCAGTTTTGTACCGTCATTCTTCTAGAGCACACCGGGTAAAGAAAGCTATTTAAATTCATTTTTTTTTTTAACTGAATGCTTATACAGCAGGTTTAGATTCTCCCTTTAGGTGTACTCTCTTATTTGGTCTTTTAGCTATGTGGTTTCATTCTTTGGGCTTTATGTATCATTTTTCCGTAGGGTGCATTTGGTTCAGAGAATATTGTATTATTGAGAATATTATATTAATAGACAGATAGATTATCTTAAAGATTACTGAGAATATTTAGGGAAATGTATTTGGTTAGGTTGAAGTAAATTGTTAGGTATATTATATTAATCTGTTTGGTTGGGAGGTAAATGGGTGGATATGTTATATAAATTACTAAATTGAAAATATTAATATAATATATATATATATTTTTTTTAGAATCATTTCTTTTAAACGACTATATTTGAAATTTTGTTAAAACACTACAGCCATATAAAACTTTAATTTGTAGCAAAATCACCATCATCCACCCCAAGCCATTATCGATAGCCAGTACACCATCGTCGGCAGTCGTTGAAATGGCGCACGATCGATCGGATTTGGTCGGTCGTGTGTCGGTAAAGTCGTTTTCGATCATGAATATGTGATCTATGGCTGCAAACAGCCAGATCTGGCCTTTTCAGATCTGGCCATGAAAAGGCCAGATCTTTGGTTGTAATCTAGTTGTTTTTGGCTAGATCAAAGGTTGGAAACATCCATATCGTTGTGGATTTGGTTGGAAACGACCAGATCTATTCTAGCCATTTCCAACCACATATATAGCGACTGTCGGCGGTGGTCGACGGTGGTGGTTGACGGCACTGTTTTAAAAGCCGGACCGAACCGACCGGTCCAATCGGTTGGACCGTGAACCGGTCACGTGTCCGGTTCGAGTCACACTCAAACCCGCTAATATACATTAAGCCACTTTAAACCGGTTGAAAACCGGATAATGTGAGTGAACCGACGGTCCAACCGGATCGGTGGAAAAACCAGTCCACAATTTAAATCCCTAATACGCGACAATCTTCTTCCCTTTCACGCAGCCCTTTCTCATCTTCTTCTCTGTCACGTAACCCTTTCTCATCTTCTTCTCTTTCAGTCTTTCTCAGCTTTTCTGACGAAAATTTCTCAGCAAACACTCTCATCTCTGTGAAAATTCTACGGTTTTGCCTCTATCTTCTATTCTCTCTGAAATCCCACTCTTCTGTTTACTGACTCTTTATAAATATTAGTCAAAAGGGGCTAAGAAAAAGGTATCTAAAGAACTATAGCCTGCAACTGCCGCCAGTTGTTTGTTTGTTTGCCGTTGAGAGGAGAAGCTTCAGCTAGCTTGAGTGATTATCGTTTAAACTGCCCAGCACTGTGAGGTACATATGATTTTTTCCTTTCTTTTTCTCTCTGTAGTCTGTAGTGATCTTATGCTTTGGTTGTTTGATTTGATCTCTTTGTTTGATCGGTAAGATCTCCTGGTTTTAGAGTAAAAAAGGGTTTTGAAATCGAATCCCACTTGGGATTTTGTGTTGAAACTGATGATGAGTGATGTTTTTGAAGCTGAACTTTCTCTCTGCTCTTTGTTTTCTAAGTAACATTAGAACTTCGTTAAGAAATGAGAAAAATGGTTGAATTTGTTCGGTCTTCTTTGTTTTCAGTCATGAATATGATTTTATGAAGAACTGGGAAAAAATGGTTGAATTTGATGAGTTTGTGTTGGTGATTTTTATTTTTGGATTTAACGATAAATACAATAAAATTAGTTGGTGATATAGGCTTCTAAAATTTAGGTCTATATTTGCGCAAAAAAAGTGCAGGGAATTTATTCCAATTTATATATGGTAACAAATGATGAGGTCTATGTAAGTTTTAAAACCTTTATGTATACTTTTGTAGTTTGACTACTACAACCTCATATCTTTTAAACGTAAAAGATGGGAGTAATAGAATTAAGTGAAAATTAACAATGTTATTATAGGTGTTGGGATCTTTTAATTTCTGTAGAGCCAGATATTGATGTTAAAAATCAGTCCTTGATTGATTCCATTACAGAAAGTTCAATGTTCTACCACTGATTGGATGTAGAGTTTGCAATATTTTTTTGAAAATGCTGATACATGACCAAGAGTTTAAACAAAGATGAAAATTGCTTTTGCTGAGAGACTGTAGATGATTAAGTAATTGGATTAGCTAGTATAGATTTTCAAGTCATAAAAAGCTTCCCTTAGCTGATAGTTGTTATGATAGTTTTTTTTGCATTATGAGGCTTGGGCAGATTGAGCAGTTTTTTAGCTAGTATAGATTTTCAAGTCATAAAAAACCATTCATATATAGTTTTGCAAAACCTGGTTAAACAAGATAGGATATCTGCAGATTGGGCTGGCATACTCTATTTTAAGTCATTCTTTCGTGGCTGTGGTTGTGAGCATAACTTTCTATCACATTCAAACTAATAGTTGGTACTAGCACTGTAGTAATCATATTCTTTTGTGGCTATGGTTGTGACTGTGGTTTTGGTTGACGACAAGTTTTGTTTTATGTTACATTTATATGCTATATAAAAACAATTAACAATGTATTTTGTATTTGATTCTTTTGATTATACCAAAAAGTTTACTCACAGATGTTCTTGAAAAAGATTAAAACTTAATATCTATTTAAATTAAATTACAAGTTTTAACTTATGATTTCTCTTTTTTATGAAATTTGCGTAGATGGTGGTGATGGTTTTGATGACGATGATGGTGATGAATTTCGATGCTAGTGTGTGAAGCTCAATCAACATGGAGATGGATAAAAGAAAAAACACTTGTATCAAATGTTTTGTTATTAATTTTTAATTATTATGCATTTTGTCATTTGATATGTAAATACAACATCATGTTTGGATTTAGACTTGAATTGTTATTAAATACTTAAATTATGTTAGGATTGTTGTTGAATTTGAACTTTGAGTCATGTTGGGCAGTAATTAAATTGTTATTGTCTTATTGAAAAATAGAAATCTAAAAAAAAAAATTGTTTTTTTTTTTTAATATGCTGACATCATTATGATGTTTGATGATGCCACCGGTCCAACCGACCGTCTAACCGGTTGGATCGGTTGAACTGTGACCCAGCCATCAGAGCGAGTTGCCCTCCGGTCCAGTTTTTAAAATAATGGTTGACGGTAGTCTTGGGTAGTTGGGGGTATTTTGTTTACTTTTAAACTTTTTTATGGCTAGAGTGTTTTAGCTAAATTTTTAAATGTAGGGGGTTTGAGTAATTGTTATTTGGTAGACATTTAAGGGCAATTGTGTTTGAAATAATATTTAATTAAAGGTAAAATATGTATAAAATCATATTACCTTGGTAATTTTTTAATAACATCCTCTGACAAGGTAATCTTATTACCTCCTATATTATCAACAGCAAATACTATTTTTAACAAAAGATTACTGTAATATTTTATTACTTATAAAACAAACAAAGGAATCGTAAAAATTAAACGAAGATTAGTGAAGCCTATTTTACCTTGAACCAAACGAAAAATTTTAGAATAGTGGAAATTGTATGATTGGAGCTTGCTTCAAGGAGAAATGTATTGAATTTTCATTAACTTGTTAACTATGTAATATTTTACATCACTATCAAACTATCCTGTCTTCAACACAACCATGTTACATCGATGGCAACATCTTCGTTGTTATATAATTGGGCTATGATTATGTTATGCCTAAAAAGTCACGCTTATGTCAGTCTAATAAATGTCTTTTTGTACTAGCTGTCAAACCTATATCTCCTCAAAGATATTCATACCAACCATATCTCATTTCAAGAGATGAATGGAAGAGAGCCTTCCATGTGTCAAGAGAACTTGCAAAACACTTATTACATTGAGTGCAAAGGTGTATAAATTGGCAATTCTCTTCCAGAAAAGGGGGGTTGGGTATATGAGAGCTAACCATAGTTTGAGCTCAATTCTTTCTCTGTGTAAACACTGTATTTCTTCATCTTTGTATGCCTTACGGGCAATATCATAGAAATAGTCAGAGATCAATAAAATAACAGTGGATGTAGGAGTCGCTTTAAGCATCCGAACCACTATAAAAACTTCTCTTATCAGCCTATTATTTATGTTTTCTGTAACATATATAATCTCAGCTCTGTATTCAAATCTCATGGATCCATCACGTGTAATTTCTAAGAACCTCTTAGCACTTTGCACGTGCGAGTCGTTGGCGTCCAAAATCAAGCGTCAACAGTTTGGTGGCCCATGTAGGTCCGATTCTCAAACCTGTGTCCAAGTTCCCTGATGGCGTGCTCAGATCTCAAACCTGCGTCAGAATTCTCCAATCGCGTGGCTACATCGCAGATCGCACATGTTAGAATTCTCCAATCGCGCGGCCAAATCGCACGTCTCAGAGTTCTCCGATCGCCTGGCCAGATCGCAGATCGCACGAGTTAAAATTCTCCAATCGCGTGGCCAGATCGCAGATCGCACGCGTCAGAATTCTCCAATCGCGTGGCCAGATGGAAAATCGCATGTCTCCGAGTTCTCCGATCGCGTGGCCATATCGCAGATCACATGCACAAGTCGTCCTTATCCTCGGCTTCAGATCACTGATCTTTAGCTTCAAATCGCGTGTTCAGATCGCTGATCACACGTTGAGATCGCTGATCTCTTGTGCTCTTAGGTCAAACTCGTTATAACCTTTTCAGGTCGAGCTCATTATGACCTTTTCAGGTCGAGCTCATTATGTCCTCTCAGGTTGAGCTCGTTATGACCTTTGAGGTTGAGCTCGTTATGCTTTGAGGTCGAGCTCGTTTTGCTCTCAAATTGAGCTCGTTTTGCTCAAATTGAGCTCGTTTTAATTTCAGGTCGAGCTCCTAGCAGGTCAAGCTCCTAGCAGATTTCAGGTCGAGCTCCTAATAGATTGCGATCAGCTCCTAGCTCTTAGCACTCGATCGTGCCAAGAATAGTTTGAGCTCTTCAGTTCGAGACTGCAGCCATTTAGATCAAAGACTTTAGTTTCTGAAGCGCGATTACGCACTCCAAAAACTGGGGGCTTCTGTTATATCTAAAAAGTCACGCTTATGTCAGCCTAATAAATGTCTTTTTGTACTAGCTGCCAAGCCCATATCTCCTCAAAGATATTCATACCAACCATATCTCATTTCAAGAGATGAATGGACAAGAGCCTTCTATGTGTCAAGGTAACTTGCAAAACACTCATTACATTGAGTGGAAAGGTGTATAAATTGGCACTTCTCTTCCCGAAGAGGGGGGCTGGGCATATGAGAGCTAACCATAGTTTGAGCTCAATTCTTTCTCTCTGTAAATACTATATTTCTTTATCTTTGTATGCCTTACGGGCAATATCATAGAAATAGTTAGAGATCAATAAAATAACAGTGGATATAGGAGTCGCTTTAAGCATTCGAACCACTATAAAAACCTCTCTTGTCAGCCTATTATTTATGTTTTCTGTAACATATATAATCTCAGCTCTGTATTCAAATCTTATAGATCCATCACATGTAATTTCTAAGACCCTCTTAGCACTTTACACGTGCGAGTCGTTGGCGTCTAAAATCAAGCCTCAATAGATTAATTATCTTCTTGGCTTTTTATTTCGAAACAGGCCCTCTCTAATGTTTTTGTATTTATTTGAAATTGTGACTAGCTAGTTGCTTGTTTTAATTTATGTTAACACAGGTAAATAAAATATGATATAAGTCGATTAAACCAAGGGCCAAAGTTTAGTTTTGCAGCCCCACTAAATTAGTGGTTGATGATTATCTCAATGCAGCTGTCCCGTCAACCTAATAACATCCATTTATTTCGATTAGAGTTTAATAAAAATTGCTCACAGCCTTAAGACAAGTCAATCAAGCTGAAAGAATTACAACAATGGCACAAATTTCTAACAGATTGATATCGTTGCTTGGCACCAATAACACTGATCATATTTTCTTGCAAAGTAATGGCAATAAGGTTTCATAATTTCCCATCTCAACCATTTACAACATCTGTGTTCTTAATATCTGTCAAATTCAATATTGTTTTACTACTTTCAACATTTATATTTGGCTAAGTGTTTGCAGGCAACAGTTGATAAATTGGAGGACAAAATTATTGGTCTCTACTTTGCATCTTCGTCTTGTCCAAGAAGCCAAATATTCACACCACTACTTGTTCAAACCTACAATGAAATCATCTCAAAAGACAAGTTTGAAATCATACTTGTCTCTTTAGACAATGATGAAGAATCCTTTCATGGGTATTTCTTTACTATGCCATGGCTCGCTATTCCACATTCCAATGAAACAGCTCGCCATGGCTTGAAGAGTTTGTATTCTGTTCAAGAAACTCCCCATCTCATAATCTTGAGTAAGGAGGGTGATTTAGTGAGCAGTATTGGGCACTTTCTTGTTGCTGAGTTTGGCTCATTGGCGTATCCTTTTACAAAACATAGAATCAAGGAACTGAAAGATGAAGAAGAGGCTCAAAAGAAGAACCAAACTTTAAGAACTATATTGGCAACACCTTCTCGAGATTTTGTAATTTCAAATGAGGGGAAAGAGGTAATATACTTGAATATAAGTATTACTTGTATCATTGCTTTATATCCCTTGCTTTGATTTGATTGTTCAATTTTCAAACTTAGGTGGCAATCTCTGAGCTTGAAGGCAAGATGGTGGGCTTGTACATGTATCTTGGTTCTCATAGATCATGCAAGAATTTCACCCCAACGCTAATAGATTTCTATAAGAGCTTGAAGGAGAAAGGAGAGAGTTTCGAGATCGTATTCGTTTCACTGGATGATGGTGATAAGGAATCTTATGAAAAGGAATTCATGAAGATGCCATGGCTGGCCATTCCATTTGGTGACAATGCTCTCAAGAAACTACCCAAGTACTTAGAGCTGAGGTCGTTGCCAACATTGTTGATTCTGGGGCCGGATGGAAAAACTCTTAACCTCAATGTCCGCGATTACGTTGCAGAATTTGGAGTTCAGGCGTACCCCTTTTCGCCCCAGAAGTTATCACAGCTAGATGAGTTGAATAAGGCACGAAGCGAGTCGCAAACCTTGCAGTCGCTTCTGGTTTCTGACGAACTGGATTTTGTATTAGACAAAAGCGGCATGAAGGTAACACTTTATTGAGGAATATGATTATTAGGTTTGTTTCGATTAGTTTGGAAAACAAAATTAAGCAAGTTCAGTTGTTCTGAAATATTGCAGGTTCCAGTATCTGAACTTGTAGGCAAAACTGTACTTCTCTACTTCTCTCGACTGCACTGTCCTCCATGCCGAGCATTCACGCCTAAACTAGCCAAGACATACCATGAAATCAAATCCAAGCACCCTGACTTCGAAGTTGTTTTTGTGTCACTTGACTTCAACGAGGAATCCTTCAAAGAGTATTATTCTGAAATGCCCTGGTTGGCTCTCCCTTACGATGACAAGAGGGAAACTTTGCTTAAACTGACGTTTAAGTACCGCAGCCTCCTCCCTCACCTCGCAGCTATTGGACCAAATGGTAAGACACTCACCGACGAAGCGAGAGAACTTGTGGTGTTCTTCGGATCAGATGCATATCCTTTCACCGAGGAGAGAAAGAAGGAAATGGATAGAAAGCTTGAGAAGATGGCAAAGGGGTGGCCGGAGAAGGTGAGAAGCAGGAAGCATGAACATCATGAAATTGTTCTTTCTCAGCGTGGCATTTGCAAATGTGGTGGGTGTAATGAATTAGCAGTTGGGTGGGTTTTTGGCTGTGATGAGTGTGACTTCTATCTTCATCCTGAATGTGCAATGGAGCAAGAAAATGGTGATGGGATCGGAAGTTGTGATGGTGATGAAGTTTGGAAATGTGAAGGAGAAGTTTGCTACAAAGCATGAATTCTCCATTCTATATGAAGCATTTACCATGGTCATAAGCCGCAATAAAATGTCTATTAAGTTTGGTATATCAATATCATGACATGTTTTTATATTATGTATAAATAAAATTTAAAATTTATGGATTGTAATTCTTTTTTTTTTTGTTGACCGGGGATGCTTACCTCAATTAATTCCTCGAGATCATGAAGTTAACAACTGGATAAGCCTCTAATGACCACCCTTATTAGTAACCGAGATGAATTGAACTTAAAACCTCTTAATACTATCTATAAGAGTCTTAGTTGACCACTCGACTACCCAGTGGTTAATTGTAATTCATTTTGTCATATATTTTTTTTAGATTAAAGTTTTTTTTTTTTTTTTTTTAATCATTGTAGCTTTAACCAACTGATTTTGACTTCAAAATTGTTACCTAGAAATTGATAGAAACCTATAAATTCAGAATTAAATATAAAAATATATATGGAAAACAAAAGATTAGAAGAAAAGAAGAAGATTGTCTTAAGGATTCATTTTAAATTTGTTTGAATCTGTTTTCACTTGTAAGCAAGGCATCTCTCTTGCAATTATTGTGGATGATTGTTGTTTGTAATGGGACTACCGGATAAATTGGGCTGCTGTCATGATAGTGGCTTGGACAGCTTGGACCGTTCTCATGGTAGTCTGGGCCCGGGCCTAGACAGTTTGTAATGGACCGTTCTCATGACAGACTTTTATTGGATGATAGAAATTAAAGTACAATCAAATTTAAAATTAAACGTGGGGGAACCCAGAGAAATCCTATAAATACGCAGCCCTTATGCGACGTGACTGATAAATTTTGTGACACACAGAAAACCTCCACAGAGGATGGCTTCTGCTTCAGAGGACTCCGTCGCCAAGCAAGGTAATGGCTTCAGTTTACTAAATTAGATTTTTGTGTTTCGTATTTTTAATTTTTTTTTCTATAATTTTGCTTTGTAGTTTAAGTTTGATATTAATTTCATCTGTTTGCCCTATATTGATTTGTAGCGCACTAGTGGCTTTACTCAGTATTCCTTTTAATCATTTAGGAAGGGATCGGTTGTTGGTTACTCAGTAGTGCTTTAAATTGAGAAAACATTATATTTACTCTCCCCATGTATATTTTTTTAACATCAATCTCGTAAAAGTTTTCCGATATTTATATGCCCATATGTAAAGAAAGCAAAAACAAAAATATAGATAGAGAAGCGTTTATAATGCCAATTTTTTTTTTTTTTTTTTCAAAACATTGCTAAAATTCTCATAAATATATAGCAATTTTTTATTTCATGATCTGGGTGTCCGGGTTAGATTACACGCACTTTAATTAATCCATCAGGACCTTGAAACTATCGAAACTCTAGTGACCACCCTTATTAGCAATCATGTGGACTCGAACTAGGAAGACAATATTAAATTCTCATCTTACTTTTTTACCCTTATGAGGAAGGGAACTTGGGAAACCATGTTATATTCTCCTCTTGAGAGACTATGTTAGATCCTCATCTTGCTTTTTTATCATTAAAGGGATTCGAACTTGAAAGACCATGTTAGATCTTCTTTTGCTCTTGTACCATTAGGCCAGTTAGTAGCAGTTAATATATAGCAATTATTAGCGCATCAAGAACCCGTCATGTATTCCTTTATGTGTTTTATTATTCCAAGGATTTTGGTTTTAATTCTTATTAATGATAAAAATAAATGTATGTGTTGATGCTGGTTTTTGGCACCAACTAATTGTCACATGCGTAACGCTGATTGGCCAATAAACACACGTGATAATGAATATAAAAAGCAAAATAAATGCAACGAGAGTTTTTAAAGTGATTCGGATTCTAAGGTAGCAAGTCCTACTTCCACTGATTTGTGTTTGCATTGATCGTGTGGGTCAGGTCGCGATAGCGGACTGACTTACAGAAGATTTAGGAAAAGTAAATGTGTTGTTTACAAGAGAGAGAGTTTCTCAGTGTAAAAAATGGCTGAATCTCCTTAATGAAGGGGTCTTCTTCATTTTATATCAAACTGAAGCGTGTAATCATCATTAAATCCATGGGTTGGTGTGATTGTCAGGATATAATCCAGCTTTATGTCCCATTGCTCTCTTCCCAACTGATTTCGCACGATTTATGCAGGGCAAAGGACATGTGTGAGCTCCATATCATTTGGCAGGTCTGACGGGAGCATGTCACTCTTCACGTGACTTTCCCACGTCAGCCCTATTTTCCCAGGCTAACAGAAGACCCCTAGTTTTTAAGGTTTGAGGATCGAACCTTGGAAACTAAGTCACATTGGAGGTGTCTGGGCGCTCCGACCTGAGTAGGATGAGCTCGGCACAAGACTCTTGGCGAACACGATCTCGCACAATTCCTTGCCTAAGCGACCTGACAATCTTCATCCTAGCGACCTGGATCTGATGGACGCTCCTTTCTGTACCTTAGAGATTCAATGAACCTGGTTCTGCGCTGTCAGGCGCTCTGCACGCGTTAAAGCGTTTGTCAGACACATTAAATGCGTTGTGTGCTGACCCGACGCCATTTTGACAGCATTGGTTGTGTAACGCATTCGAAACGACGACTCTTATCACAGCATTTAATGCGACGTGAGGCGCATTTAATGCGGGGAGAGAGAGAGGGCTGTCGTTTCGGTTCTGAGGGGTGGTAACCGTTGATTCGCAATCTATATAAAAACTTGCATTTTTCAGATGAGGTCACCGAATTTTCTTTTGCTTCGAGTGACAAACCTTCGCAAACCAAAAATCATTCTTTTCCGATCGGCGCTTCTCAGGCAACTGAAACGAGTTTCAGCCTCAGCTTCGCATCCCAGAGAGTAAGATTCTCTTTTCCCTTTTTTTATTTTGCATTCGTTTGGTTGGGCCATGGCGTTGGGTCTCCCGGTGTTTCACCAGAGACGTGACGTCGTCATTGGATTCGAGCCGTGGATGGCGGCTCAAGTTACTGTTAGGGCTTAAGGGATTTATCCCACACTGCCGCGCGAGACATGCGAGGGCTAAAATGACCTGTCTGTCGATGTTGCAGATTGGAATGGAACCGTCAGCATCCAGACCCGAGGAAGGAGCCAGCTCGTCCTCGCGGGAGGTTCCCGAGGACGCAGCCCTCGACGTCTACTCGGTTCTCACCTCAGGGGAATTTGATAGGATAAAAAGGCAGTTTGAGGTCCGCACGGAGGTGTTCCTCGACCATACCAGGTCGTCACGGTGCCCCTCTGATGGTCTTGCCGCGATCTCCGAAGAGATCTTCAAGGGTGGGGGGAGGATTCCCTTCCATCCTTTCATCAGGTCGGTCCTGGACCATTTCGGGATCGCACCGATGCAGCTGACTTCAAACGCGTATGTCATCACTGTCGCGATGTACATCGCGTGCTGCGAAAGCGGCTTGGGCGAGCCAACGGCAGTGGAGCTCAGCGTCGCCTATTATCTCAAAAAGAGCAGGGACAAGGACTCATACTATTTGTCTCGGCGACCTACCATTGCCGCAGGGATACACAGCTATCCCAGCAATGCAGGGGCCTACGAGACAAAGTTCTTCTTCTTTTGTTATGACGGCTACTGCCGCTTTCAGGATCCAAGTAGGTTTTTTTCTGCTGGGTTCATTATCTGCTCGCATGATCTATAGTAACGACCTGTTTTCTTTTGCAGTTAACAGAACGACCAGCCAAAACTTACTTGCCGACCCAAACAGGCTTGTATCTTTTGGAGTACTGGATAAGGAGAGCCGGGACGCGAGGAAGCTTGTGACGACCGCGAACTTGCGGAAGTATGGTTTTTTCAGCGACAAAGCGTCTTTAGAACCCCCAGAAGGTAAGTTATAATGGTTCCCTTCTGGTCGCGGGACAATTTTGTTTACTAACGAACTTAAGTGCAGAAACTATGCCCCCAAAGGAGTCCGAGCAGCCCCGCCGAGCACCATTCATCTTCCCTCGATCGAGGAAAGAGAGAGCGACTGAAACTGCTCGTCCTATTCTGACACAGCCGGTGCGAACAGTCGCACCTCCCCAGCCCCGTCCTGTGCAAGAAGCGACCAGGACAGAACAGGTCGCTCAGGCACCATCTGCTCGCCCAAGGCGGAAGGCTCCGGCCCAGAGGTCGAAGAAGAGGAAGCAGATTCAGGCCGAAAGTCGGAGACCGAATCTGAGGAAGAGCCTTTGAGGTCGCGACAGGAATCAAGGAGGTCAGGCAAGGAGCCCGTGAGCGAGGCGGTCGGGAGAGAATCGCTTCTCTGACTGAGGAAATGCGGAATCAGTCAGAGGAGCTGGAGGAAAGGGCCGCAGACTGGGCAATCGGGTCTATCTACTCCTTGCGAGCAAAGAACCCAGATTTGGACATGTCCGACCTCCCGGAGGGTTGGCAGGTGACCTTGCGGATCATAGCCGAGGAGGACGATCAGGAGGTCGTGGCCGCTCAACGACCCGACCAGGCAGGTGTTCTGGTTCGAAGGATCCTCCCGACCAGCTGTAATGTAATGAGTCACCCCCGTTGTAATTGAGTCTTTTGTTTGTACATAAATGAGAATACATTTTGCTTTTAATTGCTGTTCGCCTTTTCATATATATGTACAATTTACAATTGTGATTTACATAGGCAATTACATACAAATTCTTACATGCGAACAAAACACATGCGAACTGTTTCGAGCGAACAAAGTAATACTTAACATTAAAGAAATTAACATAAACTGAGAGCTGAGTTTGGGATTACTGATAGTATGGCCGGAGATGCTCGACATTCCAAGCTCGGGGTACTTTGGAGCCGTTCAATCTTTTGAGTTGGTAAGTCCCCGGTCTGATTACTTTGTCAACCCGGTACGGACCTTCCCAGTTAGGTCCTAGTACCCTCGCACTTGGCTCTCTGGTCCCGAGAAGAACTTCCTTTAGCACAAGGTCTCCAACCTGGAAGTCTCTTCGCTTGACCTTCGAGTCGAAGAACCTCTTTGCACGCTGTTGGTAGGCTGCTATCCTTAGCGAAGCCTTGTTGCGGTGCTCTTCGACCAGATCCAAACTTGCTCTCATAAGTGCTTCGTTCT